GTGGGGACGGGGCTGCCCCGAGAGAAGGGACACCCCTGGGCAGCGGGTGTTTCCGTGCTCGCAGCCACCTCGACCCTCCGCGGCCCTCTGAGTAAATTTTTAAGAGACCCTCCTCGGCCTTCCTGCCGCATCCTGAAGGATGCAGGTGGTTTCTTCTCATCCTGGGGTGGCCTGCTTAGCTTTTTGAGGGTGTCCCCCTAAGTCGCAGGCTGTTCCCCACCAGAAGGTGCTGCTTGCTGGGAAGTCTCACCCTAGGAGGGGCCGATGATGCTCCAGCAGGGCTCAAGCTGCCTATAAATTTAAGGCTGGAGGTTGGTGTAGTGTGGGTTTGAGACTGGAGGGAATTCCTAGATGTGAGTCACCCCGGGTGAACCTTGATGTTTCTGGTTAAGGCTTGTATTGATTGTCTTTTGTTGTTAAAGTTGGGAAGGCCTGTAAATTAACAGCTAGCATTTAACTTGGTTCTTTTTTTCACACAGGGATTTCAGCTCCAGCTGTCTACTTTGTGGATAGTGTCACCAACTCCATATATCTTGAAGATATTGTTGACTCAGTTACTGTCCAAGATCATATTAATTCTGTACAACAGAGTGGAAATGACACCAGTAGCCTCCTTCTCTTGGCAGAGAAGATGGGTGAGCTGTTAGCAAGAATGCATGATGAAGATCTTATCCATGGGGATCTTACAACTTCCAACATACTGATGCGACCACCCGTGGAGAAGCTGGACTTGGTACTAATAGACTTTGGACTCAGTTTTGTTTCAGGTCTTCCAGAGGATAAAGGAGTTGATTTGTATGTTCTGGAAAAAGCTTTCCTTAGCACTCACCCAGATACTGAAGTGATGTTTAAGGCCTTGCTGAAGAGCTATGCAGCTGCATCTAAAAAATCTGGCCCTGTGATGAAAAGGCTGGATGAAGTAAGGCTGAGGGGAAGGAAGAGATCCATGATTGGGTAGAAGGGAGTAGCCTTAGGCATGGAGAAATATTACTACCTAAGTTCTGTAAATATTTATTCTTCCAGTTGGTTTTATTTCACAGATGGCTATTTTGATAACTGGGTCTTTCAAATAAACCAATTTGAATGTGTTTGTGTCGTAAAGTAACCAAAGTAATAATGAGATGGGAGCATAGACAAGACAGAAACAACCAAAAGTTGCTTCTTTCCTAAATGTTAACTATTTCTTCTAGAAAGTGGTTTACAGTGGCATTCCAGTCACCCTCTTGCTGTGGTTAGAATCATTCTGAGTGATCTTAGCCAGCCTGTGGACCATGGATTTGAGGCAGGTAAGAGGGACCTTGGGATACCAGAGCATCTACAAATGGTAATTAAGAAAAACAAATGCATTATTTTTTTTTTTCAAAAGACTTTAAAACAAGGCTTTAAAGCCATTTTAGGTGGCTCTACACATCCTGAAAATACTTAGGACTGAATTCCTGGCAATGGTGAAATAGAGGCTAAACCTAAGAGGGGTTCATTTGCTTCCAGCAGTAGTGCTGGGTTTTTAAATTTAAAGCCATTTTAGGTGGCTCTACACATCCTGAAAATACTTAGGACTGAATTCCTGGCAATGGTGAAATAGAGGCTAAACCTAAGAGGGGTTCATTTGCTTCCAGCAGTAGTGCTGGGTTTTTAAACTTTTAAGCTAATAGTATTTCATTCAGCAAATAACAAACATTGTTAGAACAGTTTTCTGCTGAGAAACTTCTTCAAGCAAGAAGTCTGTGGTAAATTTCCAGTTTTTAGATCTTTATGAGAGGGGCTGCTTGTGATTGCCTGCCTGGGAGGGCAGTTGGCAGAGCTGGGCAAGTAATGGTGGGGTTTTGGCAGCTTTTTCTCTGTATTACTTGGTTTTCTGGATTTACTGTGTTTAATAGTGTCAATGTAAGGTGGCCCAGAGGAAGAGTTTACAAGCCCAGCAGTAGATGGGTTAGAAGATAATAACTCCTCTGCGTTCCAGGCAGAATGAGATGAGAGTTGTGAGCTGTCACTGACCTCAGACCATGGCTTTAGAGCAGTGAGCTTGTCCCCGGGCGGTTGGCTGTGCTGAGCAGCCTCTGTCTGCCCAGGAGGGCCCTCTGCCCCCTGACGCTGGTGCTCTGACAGTGCAAAAGAGGGAGCAAATCCCTGCACGACCCCCCTTCCCACAGTCGCGTTCCTCACCTCGTCACAGCCCGGACACATCCCTTCCAGCCGGAGGGGACAGCAGCGTGGGTGCTACAGAATCACAGGATGTTTGGAGTTGGAAGGGACCTTAAAGATCAGCGAGTTCCAACCCCCCTGCGTGGGCAGGGACACCTCCCACTAGAACAGGCTGCTCAGAGCCCCATCCAGCCTGCCCTTGAGCACCTCCAGGGATGGGGCAGCCACAGCTTCCCTGGGTTATTCAGCAGGGAACCCAAATCTCCACCTGTGCCAGTGGCAGGGGGGTGTGCAGGGGGT